GGGCGGGAGGGGAGGAGCCGGGGCTTCACTTCTGCCCCCTTGGGTTCTGTTTCCCTGGGAGGAACAGTGACGGGAGGCAGACCTTCTTCCAGGAAACATGAATTACTCTTGTAATTTTATTTTATGGCTGCAAAGGATCTGAATAGGTTGAAAATATGTCACACAATTTTAATAGTTTACCATCACGGTAAGGCTAAATAGGGAATTCTCTCAGACTGGGGATTTACCCACAAACTTCACTAAGTCAACCCTTACTGCCCGGAGTCCCCTGCCAACTCCCTACCCTTTGTTCAAAGCCAGAGCCAGAGCCAAAAGGGGGGTCCCCTGAGCCCTGTCACGTCCAGAAAGCAACATCATCTGCCCCTTCTGGGAATTCTTCCCCAGGAGGTAAAAGACCCAACAGGCTGATCCCTACCTCCCCCACACACACACCAGCAGCACCAGCTTATATCAAAGGGATAAATAAAATTTGCTTATATTTTTCGTAGAATTTAGGGAAAAGACAAGAATTAAAAATTCAATTTTGTATACCAGACAGTTGCCCAGAATAAGACCAAATGGAAAGAACTTAGTCCGGAACTAAAAAAGTTGAAAGCAATGCTGTTCTCATTGCTTTTGTCCCTGGAGAGGTCAGGCTGGAAGAGTCCAGAACTCAACTGAGCACAGCCTCTGCCCCCATGGAGGACATTTGTTTGTTCCCACTGTCCCCCGCCCAGGGGCTGGAAGGACGGGAGAGGCTGGAAGTTAGGGAGGGCGCGGCTGGGGGTTCTGAGATAGAGGCCGGGTGGAAAGGGGGGCTGAGGAAGAGGAAGGACATGTGCAAAAGGGTGATGTTTATAAAATAACTTTAGAAATGGATTAACGTACAAAAGATTAAATAGAAGCCAGGTTCTTCAAAGGAGGTGAAATACATCAAAATCGAGACACAATAAAAATAAGGAAATGTATGAGACATTTCAAGCCAATTTTTCTGCATGGGGGAAGAAGGGCTGGAACTAATCAAAAGAGAACTTGTTCACACCCTGCCTGCGTTTCCCAAACAATGAATTCATTTACAAAACAAAAAGAAAGACACAAAACTAAACCCCAGTCCACACACAGGGGGGGAAAAATCCTGCAAAAATTCTGCAACCGCTGAAAAACTAGCTGGGGAAGAGAAGGGAAAAAAAAAAAAAAAACCAACTTAGAATTTGGGAAGTGATTATCTGTAAATACTGACATGAATATGGGATAGAGGAAGCAGGTGAATTTGACATCAGTAAAGCGTTAAAACTTGCAAAACCATAAAGTCTAATTCATCCCAAAAGAAAAGTAAACTTTCTGCAAGTAGAAAGCTTTTCCCCCAAGAGAAGAGATTACAAAATTATGAGAGAGAAAAAGTATCACTCACTCTTGCACAAAGTATATTAATCTGAATTTAATTTTCGACCAATTCAAACTGGATTACGCAAAAGAATACAAGTGGGTTCTTTTTATTCCAACTAAGAGGAAAACAAAACTGGATTTCAGTTGTCTAATGGGGCAAGAAACAAGGCATCCTTTGCAGGTGCCAGAAATAAGCGGGTGGAGCGTGAGGAGCAGGGAGCAGCTTACCTTGCTCTGGGGTGGACGCGGCCAGACAGAAGTGAGGAAGGACCCTGCTAGTGCCTGCATGTTAGGGGAAAGGCTTACCAGGGGAACCGGGAGCCCCTTGACAAATGAGGGTTGGACTGGGGGGTGCCCATCTCCCCACGTCCTCCCGCCTCTCTCCCGCGGTACCCAGGCCTAGAGAGCTACTGAAAGTTACAAATTGCTTCCATTATTAGCTCATCCAGGGCGGCCTGGTCATTGGCCAGCCCCTGAGCACGTGGTCCTTCGCACCAATCGATCGAATTTCTAGTTGCAATTCTCTGTCTGTCCCTTGGCTCTGGGGAGGGGAAGGGGGAGCTGTGGCGCGGGGGGGCTGGGAGGGGCTAAGGGGCGACCCTCACTCTCCCTTTTCGCCAAGTGGGGGTCCTGAGCGCCGTCGAAGGGGTTGAGGGACTGTTATGGGCTGGGGCGCACCCGGGAGCGCAGGAACTGGAGGGAGGAAGGAACAGCGCCAGGGACCCAGGGCGCTCCGTTTCCAGTTCGCGGGCCCGCCCGGCCGTGTTCGCCACGCCCTCCTTAGGACCCGCTCCGTCCCTAACCGTCCCGGGGCTAGCAGCCCGGCCCACTGCCCCGGCACTTCGATGCTTTCTCTGGATCACTGCTTCCGCCCCTACTTTGGGGACAGTGCACCCATCCCCTGCTCACCCAGGGCAGCTCTCGCTCAGGCGTCTGCACCCTCAAAGGCACCCACCGTCCCCGCCCCCTCCCGCAAGGGCCGAGTGTGCGCCCCTGCCGGAAATGCCAAGCGAGGAGGACAAACTTTTGAGTGGATCTAGAGGAGCCAGTCCTGGAGCAGGTGAGTTTGGCCCGGAGGGGTGCGCTTTACTCTGAAAAACATCTGTCTCTCCCAGTCTGCCTCTCCTTCCCCTTCATAATCTCATTTTCCCTGAGGGCAGATGCGAATCTACCTGCCCCCGCAGGAATCTGGGCTGGGGTTGGGCGTCCGTCAGGTGCTCGGGGTCAGCACTTTATCTTCCGAGTCTGGGCACTGAGGCGGCCGCTGGCAAGGGAGGAGGAGGGGTGCTGGTGAAACTGGGGAGGAAGAGAGGGATAGGGGCGGAGGGATTCTAAGAGTCGCCAGGAGACCTTCCCCTAATGCAACTTGCAGGAACTTCAGAAAAGTTTTTTGAAGGGAGATGGAGAAGGCAGCAGAGTTGGAGTTTTAAAGTTTTAAGTGGGAGGGAGGGGACCCAGCTGCCCATACCGATGGAAGATGCGAGCTTGGTGGTTTCTCAGTCGGGACTAATTACCCACGGAGAGCCCGCGGGTCCCAAACCTGCTCACCTCCGCAAGCCCTTAGAGACGCTTGGAGATCCCTGCGGGGGTCTGCGGAGGGGAAGGGGCGAAGTACCTTGGGAAGTAGCAGCTCGGTCCTCTGCCTCTGCCGCGATGGGGTTGGGTGGGCCGCCTTGGCCCCCGCGGTCCTGGGACATTTTGCTGATTTTTGAGTTAGGAGTGGCACAGGTACCAACTCCCAAACATCCCACTTCCCCGTCCAGGTTGACCCGGGAAGCCTTTTCTCTAAATTGGAGCCACGGGTGTTCCCACTTTCTGCACACAGGACAACGTTCCTGCAAGGAAAGGAGGCTCTAGTCCCTCTCGCGGGCTGAGACGGCCCCTCCCCAAGAGATGCGGGAGGAAGGGGTAAGGGAGGTTCTTCAAATGGGGGGGCCGAGGGAGACTCAGGGCGTGGCTGACTTGCGGGCCAGGGACGAGGGGGAGGGGGCGCCCGCGACCGGGGCGAGGGCGGAGGCTGCAGGTGCACTGCGCCCGCCCAGGGGTCTCTGCAGCCCTGGGCGCGGGGGGAGGGGCGTCTGCGCCTCGGGTGTCCAGGTCAGGCCCCTCCAGGGTCACCCCCGGCTGGAGGAGTCAGGGCGGCGGCCGCTGGTGCATTTGGACCGCGGTTTGGATCCCGGGAGAGAAGATTCCCTTGTGGAGCGCGTGGCGTCTCTGGCCACGACGGGCCGGCGCCTGCAGAGCCCGCCTAGCTGTGCGTCTGGAGCCGCAAGCCCGCCCTCCCGCGTCTTTGTTTTCTCTGCTCCTGAGGATCTTCTGCAGCGCTCCCTCGGCTGCCCTGGCACCTGCTTCCCCAGTGCCCCGGAACTGGGCCTGACTGAACGGTTTCGGAGGGCCGCAGCTGAACTGCCTGGAGCTGGTTTATGGTGGTTCCCCCAAAATTGGACCTTTGAAAAGGACATGCCCAGGGGCAGACATTAAAGCCACTGATAGTCCAAGCAAATCTAAGCCCTTTGCTCTCCTCCTATCGCCTGGCTTTTCACACCTCTACAGCCATTTGGTTGTCAGGCCTCATCTCGCTCCCATCCCCAAGCCAATCTGGCAGCCGCCTGGACTTCTTTTCCAAGGCTGCCGGACTCTGGGTGCTCTAGAGAGGGCGCCTGGTCCCTGGCTTTGCCCCTCTCCTGTTGACCAATGTGGTTCTTTCTGCTCCTGCCTCTCCAGTAGCTCTCCCCGCCCCATGAAATAGATCCGGGCGATTGTCTCGCTTTTCCTCTTTGCTTTTGCCCCTTCCCCTTTTGTGGGGTTGCTGCAGGGAGTTTAGCAAGGCTTTCCTAAGCCTGTGGTGGGGAACTGTGACTTTCAGCAGGGGAAAGCAGCCCCCTCTCTGGGCCCTTGAGATGAAGGAGAGTGAGAAAGGGTCTCCTGAAGGAGCTGGGCTGGGACACGACAGAACTCTCCTCTGAGGGGCAGTTCTATGCTACATGCCTTTTGCAGGGAGGTGGTTTGGAAACAAAGGAAGATAGGGAGAAGACCTAGGAAAATGGTACAAAGAACTGGAAAAATCTAGAACAACAGAGAAGAGCCTGGGAGAGGAGAAGACATGAGAAAGTGCTGGAGCCAGAGGAAGGGGTGGGAAGGGAGATGGATAGGAAAGGAATGTGGAGGAGGAAGCAGGAAGGGGCAGGACTCCTTTTTTAAAGTGAAGAATAAAAACCTGAAGAAGAAAGACGAAATGTGAGAAAGGGGAGCTAGAGAAGAAAGGGACAAAAGTGAAGGAAAATGGGAGACAGAGAAAGAACAGTAGAAAAGGAAAGACAAAGTAGAGGAAAGACAGGAAAGGGGGAAGGAGGAAGGAAGGGAAGGTAAAGAAAGGGAAGAATATAAAGAGAAAAAGTGAAGACAGGACAGAAAGAATGCCCCCCCCCATAAAGAAGGAAAAAAGAAAGATACAGAGAATAAAGAGGAAGGAGGAGGAAGGCAAAAGAGAGGGAGGAAGAGAAGAAAGAGAGAAGAAATGGGGTTCTGATCCAGGCTGACCTCCACCACCACTCTGCCAGCCCAGGTGCCAGCCGCCTGACAACTGGCCTGCGCGACCGGCCTGCAGTCAGCTGACCAGCCAGCTGACCCACCAGGAGGTGGAGGCCCAGGCCCTCACCTGAGAGTCAGCTTTGTGAAGCAGCTGAGTGAGCCGGAGAAGGGTTTCCTCCCGCAGCAGGTACCTGCTACCCGCCCTGGCTGATGCCTAGCTCCTGCACACCTCAAGGCCCCAGGAGAATCAGGTTACAGCCCAGGCGTGACATGGACAGGCCACGAGGGATGGGCTGGGTGCCTATTCTCTTCCCTCACTGGCCACCCTGAGGCCTCCACTCTGGGCCTGCTGGCAGAGGCTGCCTGGAGACTGGGCGACCTTGCTCCGGGCTCTGCAGCACTCTGGCTCTGTGACCTTAAGCCTTAGCTTGAGCATCTGTCAAACGAGCCCCGTGCACTGGAGGATTGTTCTGTAATTCCAGTTAGCCTTTCGGAATATGTGTCGGCAAGAGAGGGAAGAAGATAAGGCCTGGTCACGGAGGCCTGTGGGGAGGATCTTATCTTCTCCCAGTGGTGAGAAGAAAAATCTCCTAGCCTTGGCAAAACCTTTGCTATCCTCTCTATCTTTGCTCTGGAAAAACACTTTCCAGGTCACTTTCCAGGAGTTTCTCCATGCCAGAAGAGGTTGGAGTCATCTGGAAGATGCTGGCCTGAGTTTGCAAACCTGGAAGAGCCAGAGGGGGGAAAAGTGGAAGAGAATGAGGAGCAAGCAGCCTTTAGGTCTGTGGTGTATTTTACAGAATTCACACAGAGATGAACTGGCAAAATGATTTTACATGCAGCTCTAGAGAGGATCAGCTCAGGCCCTCGAGTATCTGCTGCCTGCCGGGCCTGCACTCTCGTGGCCTGCCCCTTGCCCCAGAGGCACCTGCCCAATTCGATTCAGATTTCTTAAATCCAATTTAACAATCCCGTGTCTCCCCAGAGTGGGATGGCCCGGGTCACTGAGGTCAGCCATGTATTCCAAGACAACGTAACCCTTGAAAATGGGTGGGGGACCCCTAAACCGACAGCCGTGGGGGCGTGTGTGCCCATGTTTCAGTAATGCTTGCAATGCCCTCTCTGGGAGGCTTCTGTCTGGTACCTCCTAACATTGTTTTCCATGCTTTTCTTCCTGTCTTTTCTCTGGCTTCTTCATTTTTCATTCGTTCTCCTTCTTTCTCTCCCTTCCCTTCTGTTTTCCTTCTCCCACATGCTCTCTTTTTCCCTTTTCATTTACTCCACGCTGGGACAGTTGTGCTATCTTTATATCCCAGAAGGTTTTGCCTCACAACCTTCAGGGTGGCCAACACACGCATCCTGCTCTCAGGAGTTCACTGTGTGTGTGCAAATATTAGGATTCAGAAATGAGGGGTTAAGTGGGAGAGGAAGCTCTGTTACCCAGGCTCAGGACGAACCAGCTTGTCTTTTTTATCGATCATGGTTATGACCTCCACATTACCTTGACTCATTGCAGACAGTTCTTCCCCAGCGCATCCAGCTGGGCTGTCCCTGCTTCTGGAAGTAGAGCGGCCGGTGACCCCAAAGCTGTTGCTCTCAGAGCAAATGAGGTCAGTGATACTAAGTTGGAGATTCACACTCTTAAATAAGCAAAGCATATTTTCCTATTCCCAGAGCATGTGGAGGTCTTCTTCCCCTTGGATGGAGAGGCTGATTGATTCTGGCTCCTGAGCATCTGTCCATGGATCACCCCCGATTATCCAGGCCCATTGCCATCCACATCTGCTGAGCAACAAAGAGAGGCAGCTCACTCCAGGCCATGATAGGGGAGGTGCAGAACA